GGAGTGCTAGCTATAACAACAAGAAACCCATATCCCTCCTCTTGCCACAGGAAAAAGCCAACCCTGCAAGCTCTTCTGGTCTGGAGCCAACTGCACATCTCGCCTCCAAGAAAAGAAACCCAAGCCCGGCTAGATGGACGAACAAGGAAATCCTAACAAAGAAGAAAGCAGGAAGGGCCAGGAAAACCCGCTGAGAAATCCCAAAAAGACAAAAGAAAGGTTAGTAGCAAGCCACGTAGGCCCTGAAGGGCGAGGCCACTCATTCAAGCGGGAAGCGATGCACGAAGCGCACTAAGATAGGGGCCCCCCCCAGACCCACTCCAAGGAGACAGTGCAATACCAGGGAGGGAAGGAGGAGACCAGTCGGCCATGGGTGATAACCAGGGGGAGGGGAAGGTGTAGCAGTAGGGTGCCAGCCAATCTGACTGTAGGGAGAGGCGAGCGGTGGGGTAGACCCAAAGACCTTAAACATTGTCTATTGGTAATCGCGTTCTTGTCTGACTAGGCAGCCTCTTAGAGAAGCAAGAGAATGGGGAGATCAACCGTAGCCTGTTGGCTGTTCTCCCCTACTGCAACTGTAGTCCCGGCCGTCTGATAATGGTGGTTAAGGGGTTGCCGACCGTGAGAAGGCTAAGCGAGCCAACTCAGAAAGAGGAGAGGACTCCCCACCATGCGTGGGGGGAGGAGGAAGGAGGAGTAAGGAAGATCATCAACGGCAGCCTAGGCAAAGCATAGCAGGTGTTTTACTGCGTCTCTCATATAGTCTCTTGTTCTGGGAGAGATAGCGTCACTGTAGTGGAAGGAATCCCACCACCTGCCAGTCAGCCAAAGAGGGCCTCCGACCGATGAACCCCCACAGAGAGAGAGGGCCCTGCGACGGTAGACTGAAGTCAATTCCCCGCGCGTGAGAGGAGAGAAGAGCCAGATTCCGCTAGGCCGAGGCCGCAGGCAGGAGTGGGCAGGAGGGAGGAGAATGTTTTTCCCGACAAAACAAAAAACTCACGATAAAAACCGTGGTGTTGAGTTTTCAATCACCGGAGGTGTAGCGGAGACGGAGGATGACTTATAAGCTAGGGATTTTGTTTTTTTTTGTTTGACTCATTGATTATTTGTTTAAGGTACAAAAAACGTATGGAGCGCTAGCTATGACGACAAAAAACCTATTCCTCCGCGGACCAGGCCGAACGACGGAGCTAAAAAAACCCTCTGGGGTAGAAAAAACTACTCCTGCCCGAAATCCTTCCCGTAGACCACAAACCAATAACCCCCACCGCCAAGCGACAAAAAGAAAGCTAGCTACCCGACAGTGAACCAAGAACTCGCCAAAACCCCAAGAACAAACACCTAAAGACAGAAACCCAAACCGAACCCCTAAGGGCCAACGATCACAACTCAAATCCATCATAGGAACCCCTAGGCCATATGACGAGGGCCAGGAGGAGGGAGCCGAAGCCCCGGACCGAAGGGTATAAGAGAAACCACCCCGAAGGCGGCGACCGAGAACTGAGGAGAGGAGGTGTGTGGCAGGCGTGCCAGCGACCGCATGTCCTCCGGGACCATCGACGATTGAGGCAGTAAGGTGCCAGCTTGAGAGGAGGAGGCAGTAGGGTGCCAGCCGATCCGACCGTGGAGAGGAGCCCTAAGCGAAGCAAGTGTTTTACCGCGTCTCTCATGTAGTCCCTTGTTCTGGGAGAGATAGCGTCACTGTAGTGGAAGGGATCCCACCACCTGCCAGCCAAAGAGGCCCCAAAGAGTAGAGGAGGGGTAGACCCAAATCCGTAAACAACAACTATCGGTAACCGCGTTCGTGTCCGACTAGGCAGCCTCTTACGGGAGCAAGAGAATGGAGAGATCGACCGTCGCCTGTAAGCTGTTCTCTCCTACTGCAACTGTAGTCCCGGCCGTCTGTTGAAGGTGGAAAAGGGGGTCGCCGACCATGCCAACGCCTAAGCGAGGCGGGGTAGGAAGAGGGGAAACATCACGAAGATGAGAGGCCTCAACCAGGGATGGAACCGAGGGAATCAAGAAATAAATCAGGACCCCAAGGGAGAGGGGAAGCGAGCCCACCTCCTGTAGCCGAGGCTGGATGGAGGGAGATGGGGGGGGAGGGTGGTGGTACTAGACGATGAAAGCCACGACAGTAACCATGGTGTTGAGTTTTCAATCGCCGGAGGTGTAGCGGAGACGGAGGATGACTTATAAGCTAGGGAGGTACCTCGATATTTATATTCCGCGTCTGGGTGGTCGCAGCCTACATTCAATCCCTTACTGACCATATACCTACCATACTAATGCTTCAGTGTCTTTGGAGTGCGAACTCCATTTAACCCTGAAAACTAACTTCCACACTCTCTCCCTGAGTGGAGTGATCAGCTCCGTCAAAGGACTTATTAATGGCTCTTCTATGTGTATAGCTAAGAGTGCATGCCAAAGATAACTAACTCGACCAGTGAGTAGTTATTAACCAATCATAACTAGGTCTTCCAGATGACTCTAGCTTATGTGAGCTGAAGGGACATGCATATTACTTCTTGTAATTGCATATAGACTTGCAGAGGTCGTAGCTCTATAACTAACTGACCAATCTGAACCAACTAAGTCTTATCTTATAGAACGGAGCTCCTTCTATGTTATCCAGTGAAAACCCCTTGGTCGCATGCCTCGTATCTCCGCGGAGCGGGCTGCATAGATGCCTTATTGTTCCGTGCGATAATATGATATTGTCACGGCAACTACGGCGGAGCCTGGAGTCGAACATCTGACCTTATGCATTTAGTTACGTGCCGCACCAATTACTCTTCTAAGTGTAACACTTTGAGGGAATTATCTTTAGTGATGAATGCATGGTTGAAAAGTCCAGAGATCTTAAGAGTATTTGGGTGTTCAGAACACCTGAGGAAAAATGGCATAAGGACTGTATTCAAGGAGTTACAAAAGGACATGGGATAAAGCTGATGGTCTGGGCTTGCATTTGGGATAAAAATAAGGGTCCTCTGATTCTTATTTTTGACATGAGTGTGGATAGATTTGTGTATATTGGAGTTTTGGAGCATGGTTTAGTTGATGTCTGGCAGGAGGTGGAGGACACAGTTAGAGATTCTATATTTCAGCAGGATGGTGCAAGGATACATACTGCAAGAGATACTATGGCTCAGTTTGCAGAAAACCATATACAGGTTATGGAATAGCCACCTAATTCCCCTGACCGCAATCCTATTAAGCACTGTTGGAAAAGAGTAAAGGAAAAGCTGCACCAGCACTTTCCTAACATTCACAAGACTAAGGGGGGTCCAGATACTATTAGAATACATCTAGCAGAAGCTTTTGATATAGTTTGGACCTAGGATATTGAAGGAGAATTCTGGGAAAAGCTATGGAAGTCAATGCCTAGTAGAGTGGCTGCTGTTTTAGATGCAAAGAGATGGTACACAAAGTGTTGATTTTTTTTCTTCACAATTTCATATATGGTTGATGCAATCCAAAATGTATACCAGGATTTTACGCATTTTTACTCCATTATAACAAATAACTAGATGGTAGTAAAAATTTACAAAAACTACTACTATGTAGGAATTGTTAAGGACAATTATGTAGTAGTTCTTTTGTATTTATTTCTTATTCCTATATTGAAGTATAATGATTTGAAATAATATAATTTGTATGGGATAGTCTCTGATGTGTTACACAATGCCACATTGAAATCGCCAAGACTATTAGTTTTTTCCATCTTAGTTGTCAAATCACTGTTATTATTATATTATACTTTCTCAACTTATATAATATTTTTCTTAGAGTAACCCAATCCTGGTATTTTTGCCTGCTCAGCCACGTAACACTCAAACTTTAGCCTGGGATACATTTTGGATTGCATCAACCATAGGAGTTTTATTATATTTAATGGATGTCTATTCAAATTTTCAGTTCATTTTAAGTAGTTGTGGTTATATAGGTAGTAAATTTATGGTGGTTGTAGGGCTGCTGTTGCTGTACAGGATGATCCCTTTTGTCCCCATACTTTACTGTAGCATATAAGCCATTCTTGAATAAGAGAAAGAAATAAATAAAATAAAGACATTTAATTTGAACATATAAGCAAAAGGTTTCTAGATTAATTGTTTTACATATTAAGAGGCAAATGACAAAGTCATGCAAAAAAATATAAAGTAGAATACAATTTGCTCTATAAACTTTCAAAAATATTAAAAACTATAATATTATTAAGCTCTACCCAGCCACAATGTCATGTTGAACCACAGTACTAGGTTGAGCCACAGAATTAGTATGGTAGCCCACAAAGTCATGTTGAGCTGTCAGGTACTCTCTTAAGAGTAAGGGCCTATCTGATTGCCACCTCAGACCTTCATTTTGACCCCGGTTATGAAGGTTTGTCACAAAATGCTATTTTACTTTTGAGTGCCATGTCTGGTCAACAACAAAACACAATATTCAAAATGCAATAATGATATCAAAATGAAAGGTTTCTGAAATACTGGTCTGACCAGTATTTCACTAACTCTCATTTTGAAGTGGCACTTATTGGCTACAATAACCCACTCCTACTATCAATAGTGTAGTAAAAAAAATTAAAAAAATAAATATTGAAATAGAGGTGCCAATGTGTTTCGCACATTAATTATTATGATTTTTTTGTGTGACCTTTTTGGAATTGATTTTTCAGGTGACCAGACACACCTTGGGGAGTGTGAAAACTCCCAATTATAACAACTTGTGATTATTTCAGTTGCAGCCTGCAAATCAGGTTTTGTTATTATCAAGGTTTGAAAAGCTCGGGACATCCAGACGCGCCCTAAATTACCCAAGGTTGCGAGCAAGTGAGTAGCCTGGGTTGTGGCTCAGAAGCCACAACCTCGGCACGAGTACTTTGTACGAGTACAGTCCAGTACGAGTACTTCAGCCTCGCCTAAACAGCCACCACCGGTAACCCGGTAGCCTCTCAGTGCTACCACCGTTTCGATCTGGCGTGATTGCGTCAATTTGACGAAACCTCACAGACCCTCAAGAAACCTCCAGAAAAATCTACAATGTCGAGCCCGGGATAAAGTCATAGAATTTCTTTCTCACTCGCACCTCCCGGGATCGCTTTATTTCTTTATACCTCTCCGCAACAACAACAGCACGCGTGTGCCCAAAAATGCTCTCAAAATCACGAGTAATTATCCGGACATTTCGACCGGCTATTAAAAACGCAAACCTACGAGCATGTTCGAGGAATGGATCAAATTTACCTCGACTAATTGGATTAAGTGCTCCTAGTTTTCTCGGAGGCTCGCCAGTTTTTGCGACAAGAGGATATGCTGCAGGTGGGGCACATCGAATGGGTAAGAAAACTTTTGCAGAAGTCCCTTTCCCTACGCCTAACTCGAGTCATAGGGGAACAACAACCGCCACCGGAACAACAACCGCCACTGGAACAATTTGGCACAGATTTGACCGCTCGTGCTAGAGATGGGAAACTGGACCCTGTCATTGGCCGTGATGAAGAAATCCGCCGGACCATCCAAGTATTGTCAAGGCGGACGAAAAACAACCCCGTCCTCATTGGTTCGGCAGGAACTGGGAAGACTGCAATTCTAGAAGGCCTTGCGCAGCGGATTGTCAGTGGCCAAGTGCCGGAAAGTATGAAGGATAAGAGGGTTGTAAGCTTGGATTTAGGACAGCTGATTGCCGGAACTAGATTCAGAGGCGATTTTGAAGAAAGGCTTAAGGTTTTTGTCCCTCCATTTCCAATAACCATCACCAAACTAACAGGGTTATCGTTTTATTATAGAGTGTCTTGAAAGAGGTTTCTGAAGCTCATGGGAAGGTTATCCTTTTCATTGACGAACTTCATTCACTGCTTGGCCTGGGAAAGACAGAGGGTTCGGTCGATGCATCCAACCTTCTCAAGCCTCAACTGAGTCGTGGAGAGCTTCAGTGCTGTGGCGCTACAACATTGAATGAATATCGCCAAATCGAGAAGGATGTGGCTTTGGCTCGGAGGTTTCAACCTATCCTTGTTGATGAGCCTAGTGTTCACGATACGATCAGTATACTTCGAGGGTATGAGATGAGGACTCATTTCCTTTCCTTTTTGTGATTACGCCGCTTACCACCTCCCAATAGGATCAAGGATCGGTATGAAGTGCATCACGGTGTCCGGATTACCGATAACGCGCTTGTTTCCGCGGCCACACTATCGAACCGCTACATCACCGATCGTTTCCTACCTGACAAAGCCATCGATCTAGTCGATGAGGCTGCTTCGGCATTGAGGCTTCAGCAAGAGTCACGTCCTGACGAAATTCAGGAACTTGATCATGCAATTTTGACACTGAGAATTGAGCTCGAGTCACTTCGGAAGGAGGAGGATGTGGCCTCTAAGGAGCGAAAGGAGAAGCTTGAAGCCATTTTGAAAGAAAAGAAGGCAATGGTCGAGGGACTCACGAAGGTTTGGGAAGAAGAGAAGGCCGGGCTCCAGGCGATAAAAACTGCAAAGGAGGAGTTAGAGCACGCCAGGGTTGAACTTGAGATATGTCGAAGAGAAGGCAACTTCGAGAAAGCTTCTATGCTACAATACGCGAGGATTCCCGAACTAGAGGCAAAGCTTCCCAAGGATGGCGAAGCGAGTAAGGGCTCACTTATCCATGATTCGGTGGGCCCAGACGATATTTCTCATGTTGTTTCTAAAGCCACGGGCATTCCTACCACTAAGCTTATGTCTGGGGAAGCTGAAAAACTAGTGCATCTCGAGGACGCTCTTCGCCAGTCCGTTCGTGGACAAGACGACGCCCTCAAGGCGGTTGCTGATGCCGTCAGGCTTCAGCGCGCTGGATTAGCTAGCGACCATCGCCCCACCGCCAGTTTCATGTTTTTAGGCCCCACGGGTGTTGGAAAGACAGAATTATGCAAAGCGTTGGCGACAACCTTATTCTCGAGCGAGACCGCAGTTATCCGATTCGATATGAGCGAGTTTCAGGAAAAACACACCGTCAGTCGGTTGATTGGAAGCCCAGCTGGTTATGTCGGCTACGAAGATGCGGGTCAATTGACAGAAGCCGTCAGAAGAAAGCCTTATGCAGTCCTGTTATTCGATGAATTTGAAAAGGCTTGTCTGATATCACCCATGGGTGAGGTCGAGCGCTGACTGTTCTATATTAGGCTCATAAGGATATCTCCTCGTTGCTCCTTCAGGTCCTTGACGAAGGCTTCCTAACAGATGCTCAAGGTCGGAAGATCGATTTCCGTTCCACAATCATAGTTCTCACGTCCAACCTCGGCCAAGACATCCTTATCAATGATCCATCCTCAGATATCGCATTATCGCGAGCTGCCAAGCAGCAGGTCATGGATATTGTGCAGCATTCCTACCCACCAGAATTTCTAAACAGGATTGACGAATTTATAATTTTCCGGAGACTCTCGAAGGATGCTATTCGGGATATTGTTGATATTCGATTGAAGGAATTGCAGGCAAAGCTTGACGATCGCCGAATCAAACTAGACATAGATGTTAAAGCGAAGGATTGGCTCAGCGAGAAGGGCTACGATGTTCGATACGGCGCAAGACCATTGAACCGCCTTATTGGCAAGAAATTGTTGAACCCTTTGGCGGAGCGATTGATTCGCGGAGAAATCAGGAATAGTGAGGTAGCCAGAATTCGGGTTGCACCGGCCGGAACAGAATTGGAAGTTTTCCCAAATCACGATTCCTCTACTACCCCCCCTAATCAGTATTAAAAATTGAATTCCTATGGGCGTTATCTTGGTGAGCTTGGATTTCCGGAGAATAAGGTTTGCTACATGAGTCATGTACGGCGTTTTGTCATCTCCACTCATTTCCCTCTCGGTTTGGTGTTTACCGTCTCTTTGGCTACAACACTGTATGTGATACAGTATTATAAGGGTTTCCTTTAATGGGCGGGCACATCATACGATATTTTCACGGTTGCACTGGCTGCCATTCCAAAAATTTCCACCGAGTGATCCAATGTAGAACGCTGTAAGTTATACATAGTACAGTGCCCCATTATTGTCGGAGTGAGGGCGGCGAGTTTTCGGTCCTCCTAGTACTTAGTTTGCTCTTCCAATCCTGTTATAGTGTGCTGATAGAACCTGAAAAAGGCCGTGTTAGTCAAACTACTCAAGTGGCCGGATTGAAATCAGACACCATCACTCGTTTTCCACCCCGTAAAAATACCGATACCCCCCGGCAACTGTAAGCCTACCTCGCTGGCGAACCTCTGAATTAGGAGCTGCTAGAGCCCTTAGGGGAGTGCCTTATACAGCCTGGGCGTATTTTTCTTAATCCCCCCCCTCCGCTGCGGCCCGGGGCCAAGCATGAAACCAAAGCCTACCGAACCACTCAACGTTTTTTAAAGTCTCCACAATGGGAGATGAATAAGTGATTCACTTATGGCACAATTGATTGCTCCGCAAGAATATAGACTTTGAGGGAACTACAGTAGCTTGGGCCACGGCCACGCAACTCAGGTTCCGGAAACTTGAAAAATTGTCGAGTATTCGTGGTACTTCCATCCTCCAGAGGGAGCCGAGGGAAGAAGGGGGGAAGGAGAAAGACAAAAAATGAGAAAGCGCGGGGGTCAGCAGCTAGTGAGTGGCCCATTCTCGATATCCACGGGGGTCACAATTACGCGACCGGAGGTACAACAGTCAGCGTTGCAACACATGTACCAATTAGCAACACCACAGAAACTTGTCCTTGCAACAGCCATCACACATTCTGAACTATTGTACTCTGATTCATTTGACAGTTTAGCAAGGGGTATACCCCAGAGGATAAAGGCTGTGTGATTGAGCCCATTGGGTG